AAAATATGGGGAAAATGGGGAAAACTTGTGGGGAGATGGGTAAAAATGGGGGAAATGGATAAAAAATGGGGGAAATGGGAAAAATGGGAGAAAATGGGGAAAAAATGGAGAAAAATTGGGGAAAATGGGGGGAAAATTGAGGGAAAATGGGGAAAAATGGGAAAAAAGGGGGGGAATGGGGAAAAATAAGAATAAATTGGGGAAAATTGTGGGAAAATGGGGAAAACTGGGAAAAATGGTGAAAAATTGGGGGAAAATGGGGAAATAGGGAGAAAAATGGGGGAACATGGGGAAAATTGGGGGAAAATTGGGGGAAAAACAGGGAAAATGGGAAAAATGGGGGGATGGGGAAAATTGGAAATAAAAAAGGAAAAAATTGGAAAAAATAGGAAAATTGGGGAAATGGGAGGGAAAATGGGGAAAATAGGAAAAAAATAGGGGGAAAATGGGAAATGGGGAAAAAATGGGGAATTTTTTTGGGGGAAAATGGGAAAAAATGGGAAAAATTGGAGGGATTTTGGAGGAAAAAGGGGGAAATGAGTGAAAATTGGGGGAAAATGGGTAAAAGTGGGGAAAATTTGGGGGGAAATGGAAAAATTAGGGAAAATAGAGATTTTTTTGGGGGTGAAATGGGGGAAAATTGAGATTTTTTGGGGGAAAAGGGAAAAAATGGGAAAATTAAAAGAATTGGGGGAAAAGGGGAGAAAATGTGGAAATGAAACCGGGTTTTTGTACCAAAAATGTGATTTTTGAGACCTTTTTTGGGTGGAATTCACTGGGAAAAGGGAAAAAATGGGGGGAAATCGGGGAAATTGGACAAATTTGGGGAAATAGAAGCGATTTTGTGTTTTTCTGTTTGAAAAATGTGATTTTTGTGCTTTTTGTGAACAAAAATTGGATTTTTGTGACTTTTTTGGGGGGATTTCACCAGGAAAAGGGAAAATGGGGAGGAAATGGAGGAAATGGAAAATTTGGGGAAATTTGAGCCTTTTTTGTGCTTTTTTGTGTACAAAAATGTGGAAATTCGGAATTTTGGGTTATTTTTGAGGCAGAAATGGGGAAAAGGAGGCGGTTTGGGGTGAAAACGGCCAAAAAGAGGCAAAATTTGGGGGGGAAGGTGAAAAGAGGCAAAGTTGGCCAAAAAGTGACAAAAAATGGCCAAAAAGAGACAAAAATTGGCAAAAAAGAACCAAAATTGTCCAAAAAGTGACAAAATTGACCCAAAAAAGACAAAAAATGGCCAAAAAGAACCAAAATTGGCCAAAAAGACAGAATTGGCCCAAAACAACAAAAATTAACTCAGAAAAGCCAAAATCAGGGAAAAAGAACCAAAATTGACCCAGAAGAGACAAAAATTGACCAAAAAGTGCCAAAATTGGCTCGAAAGAACCAAAATTGGCCAAAAAGTTCCAAAATTAACCCAAAAGAGCCAAAAAATGACCCAAAAGAGCCAAAAATTGGCAAAAAAGAACCAAAATCGGCCAAAAATACCAAATTGGCCCAAAGCAACCAAAATTAAGCCAAAGGAGCCGAAAAATCGGCCAAAAAAGACAAAAATTGGCAAAAAGTGACAAAATGGACCCAAAAGAGACAAAAAATGGCCAAAAAGTGCCAAAATTGGTCAAAACCAGCTGAAATCGGCCGAAAGGTGCCGACGTCCGTCCCGAGGGTCTTGGGCTTCATGGAAGGGTCTCAAGGTCAATGGAAGATCCCCAAGGTCAATTGAAGATCCCCAAGGTCAATGGAAGGGTCTTAACCCAACCCAACCATGACCAACCCAACTCAATCGAGCTCCGTCTTCATCTTCCTCTTTGTCTTCATCTTCCTCTTCCAGTCAACCATGACCGACCCGACCCAACCCAACCCAACTTTTGGACCTTCTCCAACCCAAGCCAAGCCAACCATGACCAACCTTCTCTTCCTCTTCTAACTCAACCCAACTCAACCGTGACCAACCCAACCCCCTCTTCGTCTTCGTCCTTTTCTTCCTCTTCCTCTTCCTCTTCCTCTTCCAGTCAACCATGACCAACCCAACCCAACCCAACCCAACTCCATCTTCGTCTCCGTTTCCACCCATCCATGACCAACCCAACCCAACTCAACCCAACCATGACCAACCCAACCTCTTCATCTTCCACTTCGTCTTCCACCCAACCCAACTCAACTCAACCATGATGTACTCAACCCAACCGTGACCAACCCAACCCCGTCTTCCTCTTCCACCCAACCCAACCCAACCCAACCCAACCATGACCAACCCAACCCAACCATGACCAACCCAACCCAACCCAACCGTGACCAACCCAACCCCCTCTTCCTCTTCCACCCAACCCAACCCAACCGTGACCAACCCAACCATGACCAACCCAACTCAACCGTGACCAACCCAACCCCCTCTTCCTCTTCCACCCAACCCAACCCAACCCAACCCAACCCAACTGTGACCAACCCAACCCCCTCTTCCTCTTCCACCCAACCCAACCCAACCCAACTGTGACCAGCCCAACCCCCTCTTCCTCTTCCACCCAACCCAACCCAACTCAACCCAACCATGACCAACCCAACTCAACCGTGACCAACCCAACCCCATCTTCCTCTTCCACCCAACCCAACCGTGACCAACCCAACCCAACCGTGACCAACCCAACCCCCTCTTCCTCTTCCACCCAACCCAACCGTGACCAACCCAACCCCCCCTTCCTCTTCCACCCAATCCAACCCAACCCAACCCAACCCAACCCAACCCAACCGTGACCAACCCAACCCCCTCTTCCTCTTCCACCCAACCCAACCCAACCCAACCCAACCC